AAGTGATTCTCCTGCCTCAGCCTCCCAAGTAGCTGGGATTACAGGCATGTGCCACCATGCCTGGCTGATTTTGTACTTTTAGTAGTGACAGGGTTTCTCCATGTTAGTCAGGCTGGGTTCAAACTCCTGACGTCAGGTGATCTGCCCACCTTGGCCTCCCAAAGTGCTGGGATTACAGGTGTGTGAGCCACCACGCCCAGCCCTAGGCTTACGTACTTTCTAGTTTTGGACCTTAGAGACAAATTATTTAACCCTCGTGACTTTAGTTTCCCCATCTGTAAAAATGGGAATAGTAATCCTTAAGCCTCAAAGTTCTGCTATTAGGGAAAAAATAGCAACTGATTGTAGCCATGTGTGCATGAGAAAAAGCTATGAAATGGCATACAAAAGTAAGGCAATATACTAATTATCTTTCTAAAAACACATTACAGCATGATCTCCAAAAGAAGCAGGCTACAGTACACTGACCAGGGGTCTCCTGTTCAGACAGGTCTGGGAAAACTCCGCACACCGGTTTAGCATAGCTTCTAGCAACGCCCGCAGTTCCCCGTACTGCACAGGTGGAGCACTCTGATGGTCCTTCCTGCATCCAGAGAGACAAAAGCAGGCTCATGGTAAGACAAGGGTATTCCCATGATACCCCCAGGCTCTCAGGCAATGAGAGGCAGTGTGGTTGGATCAGAACATGGAATCTAATTTGATAAAAATCCTTACTCCAGGCTAGGCCTGGTGGCTCACACCTGTAATCCCAGCACTTTGGGAGGCTGAGGTTAGTAGATGTCTTGAGCCCAGCAGATGGAGAGGAGCCTGGGCAACATGGTGTAACCCAGTCTCTACAAAAAATTAGGCGAGTGTGATGGCATACACCTTGATCTGTTACTCAAGAGGCAGAGGTGGGAGGATAACCTGAGCCCAAGAAGGTGGAGGCTGCAGTGAGCCGTGATCACACTACTGCACTCCAGCCTGGGAGACAGAACAAGACCTTGTCTCAAAAAAAAAAAAATCCTTACACCAACACTTATCTAGCTGCATAACTTTGTGCACATTCCTTGCCCTCTCTAACCATCAATTTTCTCATCTATTAAATGAGGCTTAATAATACTCTCCTCATACATTTTATTATGGGGATCAAATTAGATAACGCACGGAAAGCACTTAGCATGATGCTTAATACATAATAAGTCCTTATAAATGTCAGCTGTGTCTATTATTATTATTAAGGATACAAGGTTTTCTTGCAGAGAGCCTGCTGGTGAAAGAAGCACCTAGAATTGAAGGTGCATCAGGAGAGTAACAGACAACGTTTACCAGTAAGTAATGACCTCTCCTGGGGAAGAGGGATCTAACTTTCTGCTACCTCAGTGAGGACAACCAAGATCAATAGGTAAATATAACTAGGTCCCAGAGACAGAGTCTCTGTCACCCAGGCTGGAGTGCACTGGTATGATCTCGACTCCCTGCAACCTCCGCCTCCCAGATTCAAGCAATTCTGCCTCAGCCAACCGAGTAGCTGGAACTACAAGCACGCCACCAAGCCCAATTAATTTTTGTATTTTTAGTAGAGATGGGGTTTCACCATGTTGGCCAGACTGGTCTCACTCCTGACCTCAAGTTAACGATCCACCATTGCTTCCCAAAGTGTTGGGATTACAGGCATGAACAACTGTACCCAGCCTGATAACTTTCTAGGAGTCAAAGTCTATAGAAGTATAGGGGACCAACTAGGGAGAAGTGAGTTCCCCATTCTATGAGATTACACACAGAGACTAGAAAAATACTTTTGGAGATTCAATCATTATCATTGTGGGGAAATGTGGACAGGTAACACTTAGGGTCCAATTGAACCCTCAGATTCTATAGACTTAGAAGACACAAGAGTCATTGATTTGTTTAATTATGAGCTCCCAAGAGGCAAGGGACAAGTTCCATCTTTTCACTTTACCTAAACAGAGACAGATGCATTGTAAATTGATGATTAACAGAACAGGTGTCAAATGAATGAATGACTATTTGACACAGTATTGGTTTCATAGGGCTGCTATAATAAATTACCACAAACTGGGTGGCTTAAAACAAAAGAAGTTTATCCACTTACAGTTCTGGAGGCTAGAAATCTGAAATCGAGGTGACATTAGGGCCATGTGCTCTCTAAAGCAAGCTTGTTCCACCCACAGCCCACAGGCCACATGCAGCCCAGGACAAAACATTATGGAATTAAGAAAGGGACTTTTTTTTTTTTTTTTTTTTTTTTTTTAGCTTATCAGCTATCGTTAGTGTTAGCATATTTTATGTGTGGCCCCAAACAACTCTTCTTCCAATGTGGCCCAGGGAAGCCAAAAGATTGGACACACCAGCAAAGGGTCTTGAAAAGAATCCTTCCTTGTCTCTTAGCGTCTGGTGGTGGCTGCAGTCCTTGGCATTCATTGGCTTGCAGCTGCATTACTCTAATCTCTGCCTGTCTTCACATGGCCACCTTCCCTCTGTGCATGTCTGATTGTGGCTGTATGTCCAAACCCAACTCTCCTTACATAGAGACAAGTCATTGGATTTATGGCCTGGGCTGTATGACTTTAACTAGACTCGATGTACAAAGCCCTATTTCCAAATAAGGCACATTCACAGGTTCTCGGTAGATGTTAATACTGGGGAACACTACATAACATAGTAGAGTAGCTAGGAAAAAATCTATTAAGCCTCATCCCCGGGCCTTTGTTGAGCACTGAGAGCAATCTGTTCGGCCTTCTAATAGGTTCTCAGTCAACTGCATATGGTTAAGGCTTGATTTCCTCTTTCCTTCTTCATCTCTGGAAGCTCCAAGTTTGATGATCCCATACAATCATTAAGCCCTAGTTCTACCACCTTTAAATTATTATTATTATTGAAATAGGGTGCCCAGGCTGGAGTGCAGTGGCACAAACACAGTTCATTGCATCTCAACCTCCTGGGCTCAAGCAATCTTCCTACCTCAGCCTCTCAAGTGGATAGGACTACAGGTATACACCACTACACCAGATAATTTTTGTAGAGACAGTATTTCATCAGGTTATCCAGGCAAGTCTCAAACTCCTGAGCTCAAACTCCTGCCTCAGTCTCCCAAAGTGCTGGGATTACAAGTGTGAGCCACTGCACTCACCTCTTTAAATTCTTTTTAGCAGCTCTCACTCTTCATTCTTCCTTCTAGTTGTGCTTTCCAAAGACCCTCTAAACCACCTCACCCCAGAATGACCACCTCAGTAAACATTCTGGGAAGTTAAAGTCAAAAGTAAAATCATCCTTGGCCAGGCGCAGTGGCTTCACGCCTATAATCCCAGCACTTTGGGAGGCCCAAAGTGGGCAGATCACAAAGGTAAGGAGTTCGAGACCAGCCTGGCCAATGTGGCAAAACCCCATCTCTACTAAAAATACACAAATTAGCCAGGCATGGTGGCGGGTGCCTGTAGTCCAAGCTACTTGGGAGGCTGAGGCAGGAGAATTGCTTGAACCCAGGAGGCAGAGGTTGCAGTGAGCTGAGATCATGCCACCGCACT